GTGTGTGTGTGTGTGTGTGTGTGTGTGTGTGTGTGTGTGTGTGTGTGAGAGAGAGAGTGTGTGTTACTCCGCTTGACTCTGCAGATGGCAGCATCTGATCTCCGGTCAGTGTCTCCGTCTGCCGGTCTGCTGTCCCTCAGTATCTGCGGTTCTCCGTCATTATAATCCCGTCTCTGAAGCCGGCGTCATGGCGCCCGTGAGGAGGCTCCTCTGCTGCGCTTCTGCCCGCGACTGAAGCGGCTCCGGTGGCGGACACACACACGGCAGCACCGCGGACACGAGGACCGGACACCGACCGCTGACTACCGGGTAAACGCCTGCATTTTTCCTCTCATTCACTCCCGGTGCCGGGGGAGATTAGCGGTAAATCTAGACTCAGATTTGAGCTTGAGAAGCGCCTTGACATTGCTGGAGCTCTACACACCGCTATATTACACCGGTCAGTTGATGAAGCGCGTTTCTACATTGGTTTCTGTGCTGAAGATCTTGACATTGGACGTCAACCGAGCCGCGCTTTTGTTCAATTCACGCCGCCTTGACGCGAACTCGACGCGACGCGAGCTGTCTGACCCTTCAATGTATTAATTTATGCTGTGAGCTACATTATTTCTTAAGTAAGTAAAGCAAAATCATTTATAATATGTGTTCGCTGAATAATACACATTGTGTTATTTGTTTTAATAATTATAATAATAGCTAGCTGGCCGTTAAATCAAGCTAATTCGTCGTTTATTAGCTACTAACACAGCCTGTTTATTATTAACATTATTATTTGTAATATTGTCTGTTTCAGAACAATAAAAACGCACAGGGAATTAGTGTGAAAAATTAAATAATTGCATTACAGCAGATTTGTTGAGCGCCGTGACGTCCAGCCTTGACGCGACGCGATGGAGACGAACGCGCGCGCGCTGGAAGATAAAGGGACACATTTTATTCATTTACATGATGCGTTATGCTGAAAGAGCTTCAATAAATATGTGCACATTAACAGATGATCTGATTTTAAATTGTGCATATGAATAAGGAATAAGTGTTTCCTCTCAGAATCTGGAGTAACTTCAAAGCGCGTTTAGTGTATCGCGTTTTTTGGGTCGTTTCTGTTTTGGTAAATGAAGGCTTGCATGCGGTTTTTGTGAATGCTGGATTTTGCTGATTATCTCCTGGTGTGTATGTGTGTGTGTGTGTATGTGTGCATGTGGCAGCTTCACCTCAGCCAAACAATAGACACGCGTGAGTGTTTTCATCGCGGTCCGCGCAGACGCTGCTCCGGGCTCTGCTGTTCCTCCTGCTGCTGCTGCTGCTCTGTCTGATCTTTCAGCGCATTTCTGTACGGGCTTTTATTGATAATAGACTATAAAACTGCAGAGCCAAGATTATACAGACCATCAGCCATTTATCACTTGTGTTTTTACAGTGCACCTTTATTCATTAGTGTCCACTTTATAAACAGTACAGAGATAGTTATAGGAGAGAGAGCACTGTCCAGGCTTATGAATGAATGTTTACATTAGTATTATTGTTCTTACTAATGATAAAAATATCAGGCCTATATATAAATATATTCATTCATTCATTTTCTTTCCGGTTTAGTCCCTTTATTTATCAGGGGTCGCCACAGCGGAATGAACCGCCAACTTATCCAGCATATGTTTTACACAGCAGATACCCTTCCACCTGCAACCCATCACTGAGAAACATCCACACACACCCATTCACACACACACTCATACACTACAAACAATTTAGCCTACCCAATTCACCTATACCGCATGTGTATAGAGTGTGGGGGGAAACCGGAGCACCCGGAGGGAGAACAAGCAAACTCCACACAGATATACCAACTGAGCATCGCCAAGATGCTAATTTAGTTTTAAAATGTGTTGATTTTGGTGGGGCCGCTGTACTACAGGAAAA